TATCCTGGATTTTGTACGATCCAGGTCTTGAAACAACAGTAAGTGAGCAGACCCTAAACTAAATCTGCACAAGTATCTGTACAAGGGTTGCGCGCTCTACCCCCTGCGTCACCGGTGCATCCGTGTTTGAACTGTTTTGAATCAGTTGAGCTTTCTGAGTTATGAAAAATATTAACTTCTTCCAAAGACTCAACTTACATGTTGGAGTCCGTCACAAGTAACCACATTGTTTAAAGAAGTTAACCCTTTGATTCAAAGGGTTAACTTCTTCCCTGTTCCCATTTTAAATGGTGAATGAACTTATGTAGTGCTTTTCCAGTCATTTGGACCACTCAAAACACTTTACACTTAAGCCACATTCAATCATTCCCACCCACACTGATTGGTAGGCAACTTGGGGTTAAGTACCTTGTCCAGGGTCACATCAACACAAAACAAGAGGAAGTGGGAATTGAATCTACAACCTTCCAATTACAAGATGACTACACTATCCACTGACCCCAATTACCCCATTTATGATCAATATTCCTAAACAATATTAGTCAGTCCAACAAATGTCAATGGGCGATATATTCGCGTGGGTGACATTTGGATTTTTTTGTGAGACTGAGGAGGACAATGTAAACATGTACCATTTACATTGAAGTCCAAAAATGGGGTTGCCAAAAAACCCAAAGTTGCCGATTTGGATTGCTTTGGCTTTAAACAGAATGAAGAGGTAAACCACCGCTACCTGTGGTTTCAAAGGACTCAAACCATCTGGTTCATTCACAATTCTGGCTGAGTGTTTGATTTTCCTAATGAAAGAAGGTGTTTATGCTACAAACTATTTTGTATACAACACAATGCAAGTGATCATCTACTGACATGTCCATGAGGAGGGTCAGTAGAAAATGAGAGACTGGATTTAGCCATTCCTTAGAAAGAAACTTTTTAAATTAATTTGAATAATTAACTCAGTTTAATATAGTGTATGTGTGATATAATTGAAACGAAAGTTTTTGTACAGTGACTCAAGGCATTAGCATTACAGAAGTGAACTGAATTGAATTTTGCTGACTTTAAATTACAATATTTCTGTAATGTTGATGGATGAGATGAAACAGACTTATTCTAAAGGTAATAAGTCATTTCACATGTTTTTCTGTCATAGATCTAGATTTTTTTGTGTATTCACTTTCACCTGCTCACTCTTTCCTCCAACTCCGTCCCAGGCCAGGCACTCTATGCAGAATATCTTGGAGCAACCCAGAGATGCACTGGCATTAACCTGCAGAACATCACCAGGGAGGTAGGCGGAATTTGCAGCCAATGAGTCGAACTTTGATTTTACTGTGTCTCCGCCTTTCTTTAGCAAAGATTTGCCAATATTTGTTGAAGACAGCTGCCTGCCATGGGTGGGGACGACCAAAACATTCACCTGTAGAAACATTTAGATAAGCCTCAATAGAAAACTGACAGTAACTGACACAGAAAATGAAGTGAAAATGGTCAAACCTGCTCTTTCTCTAAACTTCCAATCTTGATTTCTAGATTGATTTTCATTGCATTCTGTCCAACAGTGGTGAACTGCTTTCTGGGAGTTGATGGTCTTGGTGTGATGCTGCTGAGGCGTTGCTGTTTGGTTGCCACAGCTGGTGAGCTAACAACTTGTTGTTCCCTAATAATCACCTGACAGGAAGTTTCAACCAGCTCCTTGCTCTCTTTACCAGCTCCTTGGAAGTACTGCAGCGCCCCAGGACCATCCAGAACTAGTTTGTCCATCGTCATGCTGGCCAGAGTTGACCCAAGGGCTTGTTTGGTCTCCTGAACCCGCGAACGAGGACCAGACAAAAGAACACAAGGATTTGGAAAAGAGGAGGCTTTGAGTGTCACATCGATCTGCTTCATGCCAAGTATTCCTAAGATTTTATCAAAGCAGTCAACAAGTTCAGGATACTGCAGACTGATAACCTCTTGAGTTGAAACCTGATTTGCCTGGAAGGAATAAATAAGCTCTTTAAGCTTGTTCACGTGTTCAGTGTAGCCCACCAGCTTCACTCTGGATGATGAAGTGCCACTGGATCCAGGAAGGAAGCTAAAGTTCACTCTGAGCTCGCCACGGTTTTCCTCGCTCTTGGCTCTGTTGAGGATTTCCTTGAGTGTGTCTAGATCTGGAGCCACAGCTGCAGCACCCTGAAGAGTCACACTGGACTCATTCAGATCTCTCAGCACCGCCATCTCTGCTTCCCTCAGAGCATCCGAAGACAAACTGGACAGAACCAGTTCGGATCCCACCTCCAGGGACACTGGGCTTCTGAGACTTTGCTCAAACCGTGTTTGGTACTTGTAGATGGCACTGCTTGTCGCCATGAAGTCTAATAAATCATTGGAGAGATTAATCCTCTTTTCTTGTATCTTCTTAATCAGTTCGTTAAGTTTGGCTTCACCAAGCTGCACCTTATCTTCAGGACCTTCTAAGATGATGATGTTAGAGGCCCTGCTGATTTTCACCTCTGGACAACTTGCACTCATCTCTCGGTTGAACTCCTCCTCAATCAGCTTGAACCGCTTCTCCACAACTGGCTGCTCTTTGCGAATTGTTATGCTTTTCTCCAGAACCGCAATCTTGTCCTTCACTACATATGTCTCCCCTACAACCACAGCATAGCCACTCTCTGAGTACACTCTCACATCATCAGACACAAAGAAGGGATCCTGTAGAACCTTCTTGACTTGTTTGGGCTCAAGGACATGATGGCAGGTGTAGGCCTCAATGAGATTGATGAAGGTCCGGTGCACTTGTAGCTCCCAGTTTTCTGCTGTGCCATCAAAAGCTCCTCCAGGCCCTTTCTCTATGTTCCCCCTCACCACTGCCTCTTCTTCCTCAAAATCTAGCTGTATCGTGCAGCCGATTGCAGAGAACTGCTTCTGCAGTTTTTTGTAAGCTTTAGGGTTGTCTCTCATGTAGTACAAGAGAAAGATGTCTGTCCTGAAAGTCTTCTCAAAGCCTTTTGTGCTGAGTTTAGTAGTCGTCTGAAAGAGCAAAACAGCGAAATTAATGAATTTGTCACGTAAATGAGAATTGAACACAAAATTCAGAGCAAAAAAAAAATTGCAACATGGGAAGCCTTCCCACGTTTTACTTTAAAAAAATTTTTGTATGTATTGGAATTCTTGTGAAAGACCCAAAACAAAATAGTGAATATATACTTTCACTATATTCACCAATTTCTATTTGTATTTTTAGAAAAGTATGATGTGCATTTTTTTTATTCAGTTCCCTGACTCTGATACCTCTATATAAAATTCATTGCCACCTGTTAAATAAATAAATTCCACAAGTCGGTAATATTATTTCAGTGTTACTCCAGTTACTCTGTGAAGACTTCAGAGGACTGTTAGAAAACATCAGAGAACATGACTGTCCACCTAAAGAGAAAGAGCAAGGAGAGCAGGGACCCATGGTACCTCTGGAGGAGCTGCAGACATTCACAGCTCAGGTAAAATAATCTGTTGACAGAACTACCATCATTTGTGTACTCTACAAATCTATATGGAAAAGTAGCCTATTTCCAGTTTACCACAAATCATGTGGAAAATTCATCAAACATGAGGAAGATGGCGCTCTGGTCATACGACATTAAAACTGAACTTTTTTGCCTGACATGAAAAAACACAGAATGTTTCTTGAAGTGTGTTGAAGCATGGATGCATCTAAAAGCTCAATTGGATCAGTCCAGTTAACCAACTGGACTGGGAAAGTCCAGTTAATTTCCATATTTAAATTCATGGCAAAATCTGTGAGAACACTTCAAAATTGCTCTTCACAATGCTGCCCATCAGGTCTAGCTGATCATCACCCATTTTGCAAAAAGTAGACCAAACATTTCAGCTTCTAGATGTGCGACTTTGACAGCAACATGGACCCAAAAACTTGCTGCTGCGGCAGCAAAAAATGGTTCTACTAATAACTGAACCAAGGAGGCTGAATACCCATGTGTGTCACACTTGTCAGAGATTTGCTTTCCAAGAATCTGAAAAATCATATATGGTTTTAATGACACTTAATATAACTTTGAATGAATCGATCACATAAAATCTCACAAATGTATATTGAAGTTTTTGTTTGTAATGTGACAAAATCAAATGTAGTTTGTGAAATACATCTCTTAAAAAATAATGATTATACAAGTTAATACTCGACACTATAGTTATTGAATATTTACTTTCCAATTGTATATTATCAGAAACACATTGGAAACTGGTCTGATCAGTTGAACATGAAACTAAAAGAAAAATCCAGACAAATATGCACTTCAGGGTTAAAACTGGTATGTTAAGAAGTCAACAACACTAGTTCCTGCTGAGGTTTTATCTTGGTTATATAAGATATATATATTTGCAATAAACTAGAGCTCACTTGTGATTGGCTTGTCGATGGCTGATCCTGGGTCTGTGGTGAACTGCTCTGAGTCACGGTCAGGTGTACAGTTCCTCCACGAAAACTAATAGTATGAGTTTTCCTCTGTAAAACCCTTTCCTGGACTAGAAGATGAAAGAGAATATAAATAATGTACGTTTTAAATCTGCATGCATGCTCTTATTTAAGCCAAATATCAGTGCGTACCTTCTTGTTCCTTGAAGCAGACTTTATAGACGTTGTCTCCCACCTTTTCAATCCCACCACAGTCGCCTCCCCCACTTGCTCTTGTTTTCTGAAAATATCTGCTGACATTAACCTTCTCTTTATCTGTTAAATATCTGGCCTCAAAATACAGCGGATATGGAAATTCAGCCATTTTTGACTGATTACCAAGAGAGGATTTTCTGTGCTTGTCCCTATTCTGAATGAACAGTGTTCACTGAAAAACTAGTTTCGCTTTCTCTTATCTCTCACCTTTAATACTTTTGACACACCCAGTTATACTCCAGTAAACGGAAAACTTGACATGTTCCTGGTGTCACTGTTGAACATTGGCAAAGTAAAAAGGTAAATAAATGACAATAAATCCCACTGATCATGGCTCCATGATGTTTATTAAAATACAGTGTCCAACATTTCATGTGGCTGTGAAATAACTTATGATTGCACAATTCTGTAATATGCCCACATTCATCGTGTAGAAGAAGTATATTCACATACACAACTAATACTCAAGCTGCCTCACACATACCAGATATGTAATTATGATGTATGGTGTTGAGCAAAGATCTTTGTTTCAAGTATGTAGTGTTTCTCTTGGGTAAAGTCTGCTGCTGCCAGGATTTCCAGAAGAAGGCAAACTTCAAATGGGTGGCATCAAGAACTGAAAGTACCTGTGGCGTAAAATTACAGTTCAAGTCCCGCCCTTCTATTTTTATCCTATCCTATTTGAAACAAGCAGGTTACGTGTGAACTATTAAACCAGATCCTGAAAGACTAGAATAAAAAATATTTCTAGAATTTTTTTTTTTTAATAAATGATTGCATGACCAGACTTTCAATAAGCTTGTGTTAATAAAGGAAAGAGTGTCACTGTTGTGGCTCATTTGCAAAGCAGATCAAATTGACGCTTCTCCTGGTTTTGCCCAAGTTCTCATGTTTTCCACACCAAATTCAACCGAGCTGGTTAAAGATGTATTTCTAGATACGTTTTAACTTTATTGTATTGGCTTGGAGAACTCCAAGGTGACATTACAGATCTCCGGCGCCCAGGCATTGTGAATATGTTACATTTTCAAACATGCTGCAAGCATTGTGCATGTAAACAAACCTGTTGTCCTCTGATTTAACATTACAGGAACAAAGGGCTCAGTTGACACTGAGCTGAATTAACAGAAAAACTCTGTGCTTTTATTAGCCAACATCAATTATCAATTGCAATGAAGTCTCAAAATATAAAAGAAAGTAAATGTCTCCTTGAAACCATCTCATCTCACATAATGATGAGATGGTAACAACAAATCACAGTATGTTAATTGCCAAGAGACAGCTGGTTACCTAGGGTCCAGAACCTTTTCTTCAGGTATTAGTGTTTGTGAGATAAGGACTTTAATCTCAGTTAAAAAATGCTGCTGCAACTCTCAGCAGGATGATTCTCTAGTCTGGGTGATGCCTTCAGTCCTGCAGCGAACGACTTTAAATCTTCAGCTGTCAAAGACTGTGAACTACGTCGCAGAGGTACGAACAGAAATGGCACAAAACATTAGGTTAGGAACAACAGAAACCGTAAAGGTATGAATTGGTACATGGGCAAAAAGATCAACAGGGTTTTTTTGTTAAACATGTGCTTAAAGAAAGGTGATGAGGTAGTCTGGGTACGCTTGGTTATCATGGAACACAACAAACATGTTGGGGTTGTTCATATTATCCACCAAGCTGTCGTAGCGGTCATGGGGTTGCTGGCTGTTGCGAGGCGGAGGCATCCTCATGTCACTGCGGCCCAGAGTGAAAACGCCCGTCAGGACTCGGGCCACGAACATGGTTTGAGTACCATCTGCTGCGGGATTGGAGTAGCTCACTGAGTAGCTGGCATTTACAGCAAAGTAGGTTCCTTGACCAAAGGCAGTAGCTGTGAAAGACAAAATTAAATAATTACCTTTCATAGTCCAGGAAAGTACCCCGGTACATTATTGCAAGTTCTTTAGACATCCTAAATCTCCACAAACAATTCATCTGCAGAAGAACTAGTTAGTAGACACTACCATTTCTCCCAGAAAAGCTCCTGTTGAACCCTTTGGTTTTGATGGAGTTGAGGTTTTCCTGGCTTGTCCCGTGGTACAGAAGTCTTTCAACTACTCCACCTTCATTTTTGTTCTTTTCAGACATGTGTTTCTTCTGCATTTCATACGTGCGCCGCAGATGAACGTTCTGCAAGCGTTCGATCTGACAGGAAGGAAAAACAGATAACGGGTCAATGAAAGAGATTTTTCACACGGTTAGTTCAAAACTCATTGGTTAGGTATGATTAGATATTGTTTATTCTCCTAAGTTGGAACAAATATTCTATATTGTTATGAATGAATACAATTGGTTGACTTTTCTCTATGAGTTAATGATGTGGCACACATCAACTGAGATAAAACAAGGAGCTAACTAAACAGAAGAGCTCTCCTACCTTCACAATGGTGTTGTAGGCAGTTTTGTTGAATGCCTGCTGGACGGTTCGATACTCTGCAGACGAAGGATCCAGCAGCACTTCTTCCAAACGTTCAGCATTAGACATTTTGTCCCAGTACAGCGGAAATGTAAAGTCTATCAAAGTGTCACAGTTGACATTAGAAAACGTTAGAAACACACAAAGATATTCTGGAAACTTCATAAATACAAAGCTGTTCAATTAATGACAGCTGGCCCATTTGCTGAAATGAATAAACATTTGGCCTCTAACTGGAACATCACATCTGTGATTCAAGAAAAAAAATGGTTTAATGCTTACTTTTTTGTAATGGCAGAGCCAATAAAACTTTAAGAGTGCATCTTCCTTTTCAAAAGCAATACTTGTAACTGTGTAACTGCAGTGATCAGATAAAATATTTCCCACTTGTAGTTGAAAAGGAAAGACTAACAAAGGTTGACAATGAGGGATGCGCTCAACTTTGTACATATTCTGTCCTAATATATACAATGAAAACGGTCTATGAGTAAGTTAAGTAAAAATTATATATATGTAAAGTGTATATGTGGTTTAAAACTTTATCAGCTTATTTTTACATGTTTGTGTATTTGACAAACCAACCTTAACAGAATTATTGTTTGAGCTTCTTACAGGAAGTCAGAGTTGGTTAATAAATTACTTCCTTGCGAAACACTGCATCACTTACTGGCAATCCCGCTCTGCTAATAAACTGTTCACATGTGACTTCATAGAAATGCCACTAGATAAAAGATATTATCTGTAGTTCTCCACCCCAGTTAACTTTGTTTTAGGATTTATTTTCATTATAAGGCTATGTTTTTTTTATTTGTTTGTTTCTAAGGACATATTGCAACATGACAGCCACCCAGAGAGTGATCCAAAAGGCAGAACAAGCCTGTAAATAACATGTTTAGGGTTAAATCCAAGATCTTTGTGACTAGCGTAGAAGTTGTTTGAAGTCTTAATGTTAAAAGCACTGTGTGGCAGAAAAAAAAACTTTGTCACTTTATGACATTTTATAAGCTGCTGTCATACTTTCTCTTCTTGCTGTCTCAGTTTATATAACAAAGAATCCATCCATACACGTTTATCCCTAGTGGTGTCGCTGGGGGAGCTGGTGCCTATTTCTAGTAGCCAACGACCGAGAGGTGGGGTATAACCTGAACAGGTCGCCAGTCCATCACAGTATCTAATTAAGCATTTAACTTAAATCCAAATGTTAGGACATTAAACACATTTTGTAAAACGTCATTTTCAGCTTCCTACCCATATTTGTAGCATGCTATGCCCTGGTTTCCCATACTGTGTGTATATTGGGATGAATAATGTAAAATGTATTGTCTGCTTCCCTGCCAGGATAGAGTATGTTCCTTTTTCTATATCTTCATACTTTATAATAGTCAGCCATTCCTTTATGCACAGCCTACAGCCTACACTGACCCCAATGTATTTTTAATAGAATTGTTTAGCAAAATGGTTCAACTGCTCTGACATGTGAGGCACTCCAAGCATTTGACATGCCAGACTGGGAGAATCTTCCTCAGTGCCAACAGAGCGTCTGCATAGCTCAGCACAACCCCATTTAAAGTTATCACTGGGCCATTGCTGCAACATTTGGGGAATGTTTATATTGTTCTAAACCAGGTGGCATGTTGGTGAATATATAGTGGTACATATGGCAGGACTTAATCTGAAGCTCAAGCAACATATTTTTTAGCATTCCCAAAAAGATTCATGGCAGTCTGACTTTGTCTCCATCAAACTTTTCTGCAACAGTTTGATGTAGATATTATTATTAGTCTGCAAGGTAAAAGGCAAATATTGCTCTCTTTGTCTCTTTCAAGGTTTGGAAATTAAATCTAATGGGATCCACTGAAACCTTCATGAATCCAACACTCAAATAAAAGCATTTGCTTCCCTTACCTGCCAAGTTCTCAAGTCGTTTCAGCTTGGCCCTCTGTCCAGTTAAATCTCCTCTGGCCTCCATCTTCAGTAGATTCACACTCCAGGTAACCCCCTGTGTGTCCAATATATCTTTCGTGGTGTTACGTTTTTCCAGATTATAATTGGCTGTTTTTGGGAGCCTCTCCCAGCTACCGTTTTGTCCCAGGATGCACCAAGCTACGCGAGGGTACAGACTTTCCTCCTCTTTGGCTCTCAGTTCTCTCCTAAGAGGAATGAGTGTTTGGAGCATCTGCTCCACCTGGTTGACGCCAGCTTTCAACCCGCTCACCGTCAAGCCCCCCTGGCGTAAGGGGTCCTCCTGTACATACAGGCCCTGAGTCTCTACTAGGTTCATCAACTTCTTTATGTCTTCCTCGATAAGGTCTGCCAGATCCTGATTGGTGAAGGTTTTTGTGGCGCTGTGGTCTTGGTACAGATTATTCATCTTTGTTAGGGCATTATCAACATTTTTTCGTTGAAGGCCCACAAACAGGAAAGAGGACTGCTGACTGGTGGTTGTAGTATGACGGAGACTTGAGGTTGAAAGAATAAATTGTCTTGGCGCTGATACTGCAAATTAAATCAAATGTAAATGGTTGGAGACAGTCAGATGTAACTGGAAGAAGACTCATAGTAATCCCGTTCATTGTGCTTACCTTGACGTTCCTGGATCAGAACATTACAGGAGCTCTCAACCAGCTCTTTGCTGGTTTTACCTTCTGCCTGGAAGTAGCGTACAGCTCCCGGACCATCGAAAACCAACTTTTCTAATGTCAGACTGGCTAATCCAGATCTAAGAGCCTTATGGGCCTCCTGCACATGGCAACGGGGGCCAGAGATGACTACACAGGGCTTGGGAAGAAGGGATTCTTTCATAGTAACTTGTGTTTGCTTAATGCTAATCAGTTCTAGGATTTTGCCAAAGCAGTCAACCATTTCAGGATGTTGCAGGTTCAGCACTTCTTTAGTAGAAACCTGATTCAACAGGTAATCCTGAAGAACATCTCTGAGACTCTTCACATATTCAGTGTAGCCCACAAGGCGCACTTTGGCCACCGTGGTTGCACCTTGCTCAGGGACGAAGCTGAAGTCCACCCTGAGCTCATTGCGGTTTAGGTCAGTCTTGGCTTTGATGAGAGTTTCTTTGATTCTGTCTATATCTGGAGGAGCAGCGGCAGCGCCTTGGAGCTTCTCAATCTCCACACTCAGATCCCCCACCAATTCTGCCTGAGCCTCATCCAGGTCATGAGGGCACTTACAAAACAGGACCAAGTCTGACTCGACCGCTATGAACACGGGATTCCTCAACCGCTGCTGGAAGAGTGTCTGGTACTTATTTACGGCATTACTGGATTTAATAAAGGTTATTACATCTTGAGGAAGATTTATTCTCCTCTCTAAATCATTTGTGTTTTGTCCGTGGGGGTTAGTACGTCTTGTGTTGCCAGGACCTTTTAAGATGACTATATTTGTATTTCTTAAGATGTCGACTTTTGGGTAAGACATACGCTGTCCTTTGGCAAAATCATTCATCACTCTGAACCGCTCCTCCCTGTGACAGGGGTCCGTCTACAAATAAAACAAAGACCACAAAAAAGTATTTATCTGCTTCACTTACAGTTAGGTCCAAAATTATTCATACCCCAGACAGGTTTAGAATCAAAATTACTTTTCTTTATCCAAGTTGTCCAAGACGAGATGAAACAGGAATCTCTCATAAGAGAATTGAAAGTAAAAGGAGCATCTATTGACTTTTTTTTTTTACTTTTTATTTTTTTAAAAATATGTTGTAGAAATATCTGTGGTGAAAAACCTTCGAAACGTTCATTACCCTGACCTTTAGCTCCCTGCACAGAATCCTTTTCAAATTCATATTAAGATGACCATGGTCCACTCCAAAACATGAATATTGTTTCCATTCAAAAGAAACCTGAATCAAATGGCTGAATTACTTTTTCAATATGCAGTCAAGTTCTCCAAAGTGATGCTAAACACTGTATTCAGGTGTGATGAAATCAGGACACCAGAGTTCAATTCTGAGTGTTATCACCAAGCTCTTTATAAATATCTGATATTTTTATGCAGTGAAAAGGACAATTTAACTGTTATCACTATAGTATAATTTCTTTTAGGGAAATTTTGTTTAATAAACTTTGGAATAAGGTTGCAAATTTATCAAAATCAGGAGGGAGTGAAGCATAGTATATAATTTCCAGAAAAAAAACTCACCTTTTGCTGAATATTGGAGCTCCTTTGTGTAGTTAAAATATCTGGAAGAAAACATTTCATCAAGTAGTTTAAAACTGGGATGCGATTCACTAAATGTTATTATTTCCTTTCCTTTATTCTCCACAACTATTTTTTTAAAACATAAAAGTCTCAGATAAACTGTGTCAGGAATAGTTTGCTTCGGTCGGCTAATGCTAACCTGTCAAACATGCTAACGGTGTAACCAACCACTGAGTTAGCATGAATCTGAGACTAATGCTAACTGACGGCTAACTCTGTCATCCACACTGATGACAGAGTTAGCTTTGTTCCTAAATACAACTTACCGAGTGTTGATCCTGGTTTTTCAGTTCCTCCCCCAGAGCCTCTGCTGTCCTGGACAGGATTTAAGTCTCCCCTGATTCCACAGAACTATGATTTGCTGATATTTACCAATTTTATCAACACTTTTGAACTTCTAGCAAGACTTTTAATAAATGTGTCACCATTTCCAGAACTACACTCTTGACAGCTGATCTCGCATATGACAACTTATAGTTTCAGTTTCATTTACTTGCAAGTCTGTTTTTTACAGACACGCCCAAACATGCGAATTGTTTTCCTTTTATGGCGACATTTCTGTTTGTATTTTGTTGTGCAAATGACAATGAATAGGCTATACAGTACGCTGAGCCATTTTTTAGAATAAAAATCTAATTTTGAATAATCAAACTTATATTCTACTCTTTGTAAGTGGTTGTGAAAAAGAGGCTTTCTTAAAACAACATGGTACAAGTACTTTAATACTAGTAGAGACTATCAGAAAGTCTGAGAATTATTGTTTAGAAACTGTATAAAATATTAAAAATTTTATTGGAAGCAAAATATATTTAAATATATCATTTTTATTTTATTAACATGTGTCAAAATTTGCTCCATTTGATTTAATGTATTGTCACTCAACATTATTTAAAATAAAACCAAGTAACTAACACTATGTTTTAATATCTTGTGTCAAACTGGCATGTTGTACTACCACAGCAAACCACTAGATGTCACACTTAGACTAAAAACCGCGGCAGGACGGAGACAGATTTGTAACCATCCAACTCAGCAGATGAAGTTTACAGCATCCTGCACAGTAAATGGCGTCCTTATTCAATCCCTTCTTCTGAGATTTTAAACAATAAAATTATCCAACTAAAGTTAAAGCATAGACACCATTCACATATTTTTACAATATGGGCTTGGCTGTATTTACTAGCTATATAATTTAATAAATGTATGGTCATATTTGCATTTGAGATTAGAAGGGAGTTCTTGGATATGAATCCCCAAGTTGTTGTTGGGGATTCATATCTTGATTTTAGGCATTCGAAACAATAAATGGTGGAGATGAAAAACACAAACTCCTCAAAGTGATGAACTCTCAAAGTCAGGCACATGATGACACGGTTAGGATTTGTAAACTTATTACAGCTGTGACATTTTTGATGGTACTTCACATGGGTTACATCCAGTGCCTATATAATATTCTGATCAGAACAGTTTCCCAATAGGATTGTGACGTCAAGTTCTGTTTCTGCATGAACGATTTCGGTCACATTAAACAAGTTTGAGGGCAAAAAGTTTTTATATTTCTTGTGATCAAAATGACAGATTGCCTGTGTTAGTAAGGGAATGTATACAAGATTATTTAAAAGTAATGTGGTCCAACGTTCTAAAGCTATTGCTGAGGATACATTGACAATATTGAACCCAGTGGCAGACACCACATCAGATCGTTCACTCACCATAAAGGTAATTGGGCCTTCATCTTGGAAAATTGTAATTTAAAACTATATTTTTGATGTGCAATTATTTTTCTGTCCACCTTTTCTAAAAGCCAATACCAAAAATAAAACGTATTGAAGCTAATCTTGAAGGTTTCCTTTAAACCAAAAAAAAAAAAAAAAATGATGGAAAATACTGAAGCCTGCCAAGACAAACATTTTCACCCACAGATAAAGAAAATAAACAGATAAGAAAATAGATAAGGACTCTCAAAGGTAGTCTACCTGTGGGCCTGTTTTTCCAAATTGGTCCACTGAGAGACTCCTTCCTTTTTTTTTTTTTTTTTTTTGGAGGAAACTGAGGCTAATCGTTTGACCCACATGCAGAATTCACTTCAGGATACAGAGAAAATCAGTTCAAGTTTATTGTACAAAGAGTTTGAATGTGTCTTCTTTGCCTCAGAGGAGCGGTGAATAAGTTATACTGAAGGTGAGGAGAAGACCTTACATGTGAAATGGGGACTGATCCGACAGGGGGGTTATTCTGCTGGTGCTTGGTTTCTAGGGGGAGTGCCGGGTCCAAATGGAGTTGGAACAGAAGCCAGGAGATCCAGGGAGATCCAGGGAGACTGGGTGGTGATGATGGTTTGTTGGTTGTACTTCGTTGGAGGACGGACAGGTTGTGGCACCGACTTGAAAAGCCCGAAGAGATTTGAACCAGTGGCTTTTTTATGGGGAACCTTGGTGGCGAAGCGATAAAACTCAGGAGGCACAAAAGGCAACAGCCACTGAAAACCTGCAAGGAGATCACAAGGGAGGCTTGAGTAAAACACTCAGAGAGACATCACACTGAGGCGATGAAGGACTGGTGACAGGCTTCTCTTAAACACTGGCTGCAAGTGTGACGACTGAACACCTGAGGCTGCCTTCCAGACAGCACAGCCTCCTGATTCCATCTGGTGGATGGATAGAGAAATGGAAACCAGTCCCACAGAAATCAAAACCCCATGCGGCTTCCCAACAGTGGGAGCCTCAGCGCATTCTCAGGAAAACGCTGTCATCCACGAAAGAATGTGTTGCACAGTCCAAAAGCAGAGGGAGGGAAAAAGAAAAGTGAAAATAAAAGTAAAAGTTATAATGCCTGTGGATTCAAAAGATTTTTCCAAGATTTCAGTCAGCGAGTTTTACAGCTTGAATAGAGAAAAGGACGAATCCTGCAAATCCAGTGTGTCAAAGTCCTGGATTGTGTGGTCAATTGCAGCTCATTGCGAAAACTTAACGTCTAATCAAGCCTGAATTTGTTCATTTGCTGTATAAATGTCCATTGTAATAGATATTTTAATACTCTTTTAACAGATATTAGGAACTGCCAGAATAAAATAGAATAGAATAGAATAGAATAGAATAGAATAGAATAGAATAGAATAGAATAGAATAGAATAGACATACATTTGGCTTTCAGTGTAGAAATACCAAGTGTACAGCAACAACCAATATTGGCAAAAAGAAGCAAAGAGATGCTAACTGTACAAAAATACGCAGAAATCAGTGCAAAGAACAAAAGTTGTTTGTAATCATTCTATATATTGTTAGCATTGTTGTTTTTTTTATTCTTTTATTTGCACTTTTAAAATATACTGCCCCTCAGATGTGCAGTGATGTCAGAGTGAGTAAGTCGGTGTTTCACAACAAAGTTTTAAATCTCTCATAAAATTACTTTTTGTGTTGGCCCTTCAGATCACCGTCATCCACAGTGGGCTATTAGCTTTATGTGAAATCACCAATACATAGCGTTACTTTTCAGCGGTTCAACAAAGTTTCACATTATTTCTGCTGTAAGCTTCATTATGTAGCCTAACAAATGGAATATAAGAAAAGTAAGAGACTAAATGTTGTAACTTCACAGAGGTCAGTGTCGGCAGGCAAACGCAGAAGAGTTTAACTCATAACAACAATAAACGGCGGTAAAACATCAGGCCAGTTGCTTGCAGCTATTAGCTGCTTTATTTAGCATTTATTGCATCCCAAGCACTCCACTTAATCATGTCATATTGTTCTCATGTGATAGAGGCCTCATGTTTTACGAAATGTTTGACGTGGTAGGATGCATCATAAGACAGGGAAAACTCAGTTACCCACAATCCATTGTGCAGTTCAGTGACGAAGAAGGACCTCAGGACCTACGATCAGGGATCTGATAACAGCGTTATGATGTTCAGTCACAAAGCTGGGGTCAAGCTGGGGGTCAGCCAAACCGCATGCGAAAGGTCACAACCGCGATGCTTAGAGGTCATTGAAATATATCAGGGATTTATTTGATTCTGCACTGAACAATGGAGGGGAGGCATGCAACAAGTCTGATGAACTGATTTTGAAATCAGTGAACGACACGAAGCAACACAGAAACCTCTAGAATTTGTTAACACTACGTCATGTCAGTTTTGAGGAATCACAGTTTCGTCTTTCTGAAGAAATAGTCAGAAAAGGGAACTAAAGGGGCTTACCTTGCGAAACGCTTAAACTGGGATTATAAGACGGAAATGATGCAAGCTTTTATTTGGCATGGGAAATAATAAATAAAATTCTTAAGATTTTAATTAGGAACATAGGGGAACTGTTTAAGCCATCCCAGAGAATGCTGTGGGTAAAGAAATAGTGATTTGGGCATTTTAAAGAAAACAAACGCGTCTACTTGAACAAAAAGAAGAGGGTCTGTGAAGATCTCAGGATTTAATTTAACATGAAATATGAATAAACCCTGTTTGGTGACATCCATTCTCAATTAATCCATACCGATCAAACATAATTTTCCTATAAGACAGAGATAATAAATTTGTTCTTAGTCTAACCTCTGGATTGACAAAATGCCAAATTTCCAGATTATACAAATCTAGATGGCCAAATAATATATACATAGATGTCTTTTTTTTTTTTTTTTTTTTTTTTTTTGCAGAAAAACATAATGTGTTGCTTAAACAAATGGTGCTTTGTGGGTTTTCATCTCATATAGATAAATACATGCTTACATCCAGGCTAAGATTTGATGTTTGCCATCAAACCATTTCTCTTAATTACATGCCGTTTTGGCACTTTTCTGATAAATGGCACAAACTGAGAAGCTTTTTTTCTTTCTTTCTAGTAAGTGCATTGAATTAGGGAATTTAGTAATAATTGCAAGACAGTCCTTTAAAATTGTTTTTACAAAGCATTAACTCTGGACCCACAGTTCATCATATTATAGGTTATGACTTATTTATCTTATATTAATAAGGTTCACAGTATTCACACGTACTGTTTGATTTATTTCAATCACAGTAGACGAATTGGTTTTACATTTACAGTTTTTGTAGCTTGCTGTTTGTTTTCACAGCCTTGAAATAAACAGGAATCCAACATTACTAATGTAATTGTCATGATATTCCACCAAATATTGATTTCTGAACTCTTCCCGAGTTAAAACATCAGTTTTGTTGTTTCTAAATGAACATGAACTTGTTTTCTTTGCATTATTTGAGGTCTGAAAGCCCTGCATCTTTTCCTTATTTTGCCCATTTCTCATTTTCTGCTGATAAAAAGTAAAGTTTTGCTTGAATTTCGGAGACATGTTGTCAGTAGCTAACAGAATAAAAAGAACAATGTTCATTGTTGTACCACCAAAGTCGACTGTAAGATAATAAAAAGTATTTTATATTTTACATTCACCCCTATTGGGGGAAAAAGATCAACAGTCTCGCTCCCTCTCTGAGTCAGTCTCCAGACCAGACGTCTGGTCTCTTAAATTTGTATTATCACCGGTTTGATGCCAAAACAAACAAAACATCGTCTGAGTATGAGGATGTCCCTCCCAGATGCAGCAGATCGCCGAGTCTCTCACCCACAGGGAAGCCACTGGATGAAGCTGTAATCTCGTCGTTTGAAAATTCCTGTCTCTGTCCCTGTTATTCCCCGAACTCCAAGTAGAGGGATTTCCAAGAAGTATCTGCCTGAAGGACCAAGTCCTAATCTAAGCTAACCAAACATTAACCGTCACCCCTTTCACTCAAAATAGATTACATTCATGAGTCTGTTAGATCATTAGGTACACTGGTTCAAAACTATTCACTGAGAAGTGAATCTGCTACATGAAGCCAAGAGGCATCAGGTGACTTGATGAAGTTCAGAGTGTCAGATTAGGAAAGAAAAGAGATTAAAGTGACTTTGGACGTAGCGTAGCTGTCGGTGACAGACAGGTTGGTTGGTCAGAGTATTTAATAAATAATGGCTCTACTAAGATGTTCACATGCCATTAAGTCTGGGTTTATAAAGAATGGTGAGAAGAAAATAAACTTTTCACCACACAGGAGTTAAGATGACAATGTCTTTATGATGTTGGGCTTCATAGGGGGATGGAGGGACTGGTTCTAAATGAGAGTAACAGTGACTTAAACTTCCATTTTTTACAATAAAATGCAAAATACAGACGCATTGGAGCAGGTGATGCAAAAATACTGAGACACAATTCAGGAATCTTTCACTTTGATGAAGCCATGCCAAGAAGAATCGATGCCTAAAATCTGATTACCAATAATGGCTGGCCAGGAGTTAACAAGTCCTCTCATTCCATAATGTGTGGGATTTTTCCAAGGTTTTCATTTCTTCACTTGAAGTCCAAAAGTTATTGGGTTAATAAATCTCTCTGACTTATGCTAGTTTCCTTCTGTGCCTCGTTGACGAACTGGTGGCCTGATTCTCACCAGTTTACCTAAAAACAGGATGAAGTGGAGGCCTAATTAGGGGGTTGATGCCGAAACTTAAATCAGGAAAGTTAAGTACAGTAATTTTCTAAAACGCAAGTGAAACTTCATGCTAGAATCTTAAAAGAACAGACACTGTAGTTTACATTATGAACTACACAGAATAAGATCTTAATAAATCTGAAACGTTTAAGATAATCCGTTTCTTCCTAGTTAGATCTATCCAATGTTTAACGCATTTCTTACTCTTATCACCTCTTTTTGTCTCCGAATCCAGAGTTATGCCAAAGAATGATGACAAACTTTCTTCAATATTTTCTGTAACCATGTCCTGCATGTCAATGATTTCTGAAAGACTGTAAAATACAACAGTAAAATGTTTTAGACCTCCACTGTGAGGATTTACTGACTTATCAGACATTTGGCAGCAGCAAGTCAAAGCTCTGGAGAGGCCAGTGTTTCCCGTAGCGCCACACCTCAAGCGTGCGGCCTGAGGTCACAGTGAAGGAGTCATTCCCTTCACGATGGGAACTGAATAAAAGGAAGGGGGGATTTCCTCCTCCTACAGCAGAAATCAGATGGATTGCAAAGTAGTGAAAGTGAAATAGTAGGAAGTTATTTTTTTTCCAAGTTCTTAGGAAGACTTATTTTTGCAACTGTGAGTGTATAAAAGGTGAAGCTCATGGCATCCCAGAGTCAGACAGCAAAACTCACAGAGAAGAGAAATCCTTCAGTCTGAAGAGGAGAAACCAGTTTCACTCATTTCTACCATCTGAGACAAACATGAAGTCAGCTGTCCAGCTCATCGTTCTCCTGGCCTGCGTCTTCCTCTGCACATCAGGAAATCGTAAGTGTGCTTTATAAATTCTTTTTGTTTTATTGGGTATGAACTATCTTCTTAACTTACGCTGTAAATATTTCTCCCCAGCTATTACGAAATGCCGTTGTATAGAGACGATCCCAATAGTAAGGCGCGCTCTCATCGCTGATGTAAAGGTGTATGAACCGTATCCATTGTGCAGCAAGCGTGAAGTGATGTAAGTACCTGCAGAAACAAATTGTCAAATGATCAGAAACAACACAGAAGGCTGAGCACTGACTTATTATTCTGTTATTGCAGAGCCAACATGACAGATAACAAACAGCGCTGTCTTGTCCCGGAGTCAAATTTCACCAAAAGACTCCTGCGAGATCTAAAAATGTAAGTGGAAAAAGTAATCCTTTGAAAATGTTTTCCTTTCAACTTTTACGTAGAAGTTTAAATTGGTATTCAGTGGCAGCTGCAGTAGGGCATCAGTCAACAGGAATCACAAAAAGATTTTGTTGATATTTTTCTTTTTGCTGCTACAGAATTTCCTTTATTGAGTAAAAACCTTATTCAGACAATTTTTAAAGAAACATAAACAGTGATGGTTTAAAAATATTCACCAGTTTTTTATCTTCTTTGCAGAACAACAAAAACAACAACAAAAACAACAACAACAACAACAACAACTGCAGCCACAACAAAATCAGCAGCAACATCATCTTCTGTCACCAGGCAGTGACATTAACGCTGCTATTCATTCTGTTTGTGTTGGTGTGATTTTATTTAAGTCTACAAACATTTGCACCAGCAGCTAAAACTAAAATATTTATTTCAGGCAACAACAGTCTTGTTAATCAGCAAACGGTGACTTTCCAAAATATCTGTCAGTTTGTATTTTAATGTTTAATCAGTGGAAGCTAATGCTGTGTACCAGAAAAGCTTTGCCTCATTCCCTTTGAGAAGATGTAGACTTTTTTTTCATAATTTTGTTTAATTCAAATACGTGTGTGTCTTTTTGTCTTTTATTGCACTGTACATAAAATCCACTTGCTGTTGATGGTTAAATTACAATAAATACAAACCCAAATAAACACTTCTGCATTCTGCTTTTACTTTATACTTTCTATTGGTAACAACAAAGGATTTCATAGTAAATCTGAGTCCATTCTCCACTTTAACACAGTGGCATTTCCACTGCATCTCAGACCACTTTTATTTTTATAAAGATTGATTATGGCAACAGAACAAATGTCACTTTCATTTAGCTTTATGTTATTTTCTGAAGACTTTATGTTAAACGTCTGATGCCTCTTCGGATCTGTCAAGTTTAGTGATGCATGATCGAAACAAATAACCACCTAGGAATCACATAATCTCATTTATTTACAGTGAACTATGAGTAGATTATAGAAAAACTTTTTAGCTGCAAAGCAGGTGCCACACATCTCCATGCTTTGTTGGTGCAAAACCTGTTTTTGTCTCATCAGTGATGGCTGCCTGTCAAACCAAAAAGCTTCACCGTTCTTCACTGTGAAGGAGTTTTTCCCTTCAGCAGGAAGTCCATAAAAGGAAGTGGGACGCTCCAATTGGTTCAGGAGAGAGCAGAATCATTTTTGACATTTTTGTGCATGAAATGTGAAGCGGATGGTATTTCTCAGTCAGAGCGTTTTCCACACTGAGGAGGAGAGAATCACTGCAAAAACTGTAATTTTGTTCCATCTGAGACAAACATGAAGTCTGTGATCCAGTGCATCGTTCTGCTGGCCTGCATCGCCATCTGCACCTCACGGAGTAAGTGTATTGTGCAATGATTTGACGCATTCAATAATTAATAATATAACAAAAAAAATCATTACACTGTAAAAAAAAACACATCTCTAATTCATGGTAAAATATCAGCAGCTGTGGTTGCCATAATTTTACAATATAAATGTAGCTGTAAAATGCAGCTGCCAGTATTTTACTGCAAATTAGAGACAGTGTAGCTATAACTAAATATTTGTAGTAAATTGTCTTCTTTACAGCAGGTTGTAAAGAAGACAATAAATAGCCTTTTTTACACTGTAATCCCAGATATTAGGTATTGCCATTGCATAAAGACGATCCGAGCAGTAAGGCGTTCTCTCATCGCTGATGTAAACGTGTATGAACCGAGTCCGGCTTGCCCCCATCGCGAAGTGATGTAAGTAACTGCAGAAACAAATTGTCAAACCATCAGAAAAAAGAGTGAAGAGCATTGATTTATCATTCTGTTATTTCAGAGTCACCATGACAGATAACAGTCAGCGCTGTCTGGACCCGGAGTCAAAATTCACCAAAAACCTCCTGCGAGGCGTGGAAAATTAAATGAAAATGTAATTATTTTAACATGTTTTTCATTTAAGCTTTACATGAAAACACAAAGTCAACTCGCAGCAGCAGCAGCAGCTTTTTCTCATCGTCTTCCTCTCTTTCTTCACAGGAACCCACTTCCAACTCCACCAGGAACTGCTCCAGGGTTTCATCATCAGTAGAGTTTCTTTCACAACATTTGTTGGATCGCTCAGTTCCTCATTTGTGCCAAAATGTCAAACAATCAAAGACGTACTTATGTTCATTCATCCAATGAACAAAACATTAAACCTATTCTTCTTTAAATTTCATGCATCTGTCACACTTTGCTCCAATGTTTCTACTTTTATGGTTGAAATCAAATTAAAGAAATGTAACCTCTATGCTCTTGGTTGTAATTAAATACTTCAGTTGCATTAAACATGCCATCCTGGTTGTTGTATTTTGTATTACATTAATGGCTGCTGTTCAAGCTTAAAGCAGCAAAAAGTGACAACTTACAGTTTCTACTGTGTCTCATTGACTTGCAGACACAGACGGAGCCGTTGATTTGACTTTATTGGTTCAGTTTACCTTAACTCTTGTTTACACCTCTAACGATGCAATGAGTGTTGAAACAGGAAAACAGAGGAAACAGATTTACAAAAAGATAATCATAAAAAGTCCTGAGGCACCGTTCAGACCTGGTTATAACATCCTGGTTGATTAAAGCTGCAGGGACTCTACATGCTTTTCACAACCATCTCAGATGATGAAACGACCAGCTGCTTCCTCTGACAGACTAGTTTCTGTTCCACAGCTGAAAAACTGGGAGGGTCACACACTGAACAACGGTTTTCTGCTCTCATAGGATGTTAATGATGAGCCTCAGGTGAGACCATTCACAGCAGACATTGAAATCCCAGTAATCAGATGACAGGTTACTCTCTATGCCACTAAACATGCAACTTTAACATTTTCTCAAGATGAATGTGTTTTCCTGTTGAACTGCACAGGGTGCATGCAAAGTTATACATGTGGCTGCACAATGCTGCCTGCGTGGAGTTTGCATGTTCTTGCTTTTGATGTGTTGGTCCTCCTGCAGCCCAGAAACAGAACCGTTGGGACTTTTGGTCTCAAATTGTCCTAATAGTGGAGAGTTTAGTAAGACTAGAAGGGCTAAGAGGTGATGAGAGGAGGAGTGGAGGAATAAAAATAAAATTGATGATTACTGATCATCCTAACCAGCAGATCACTAAGAGGGAACTGCTCACTGATCTCACTTTGATCAGGCATTTTGAACAGAGCTTCACCTGAACAGATCTGGGTCGAGGTGAACGACATCTAAATAGCACAGAAAAGAACTTTCTGGAGAATCCCTTTTCTCCCCTTCATATATGCATAAAACATGGTTTTATTCCTTTTCATTATCTGGGATCAAGTGCAAGAATCACGGAGAACTCTGCTGTTTTTAGGAATCTCATTTTTTTCGAAGAACCACAGTTCTGCCTTCTGAAGAAGTCCACACAAAAAGAGAACTAACTGAGCTGTGATTTAGGAAGAAAAATGACATAAACAGTTTTTTTTAAATATCAAAAAAAATATCAATAAACTCCATTGGTTAAGGCTCTAATGAGGTTTTCAAAACCACTTACTGCATGTCTTCATCTTCTTTCTCTGACTTTTTTGCTCTGATTTAATGTAAAAGTCATAAAACATGGATCCATCCTGTCTCGTATCAATGGTTCTGGTTGCTGGTGGTTTAATAATGTACAATGCAATGTTGCTTAGAGCAACTTTAAAAAGTGACACCAACACAAAGCAGAGAGGTCTTCCTGCTGTAGATAAACGCTGCTATTTGGTCATTTCACTGACTGCTTTCAAGTTGTTAATGTTTTATAGTTTCTATGTCCAGATTCTGATTGTCGTAGCAATTACTAGTTTATTTATTGAAAAAAATCCGACAAAATCTCCAGTCCTATGCATTCAACTTGTTTAAGTTTCAGAACATAATGAAATGTAATTCATGGGGACTGACGGTTAGCACAAAGAGTAACTCCATGAATCTAAACCATTTCAGATTTCACATCTCTTTTTATTTAAATTTATCACACGTTTGTCATCTGTTTTAAATAAAAAGCACTTTTATCACTTTCCTTTTTGTCTCATCAGTGATGGCTGCCTGTCAAACCAAAAAGCTTCACTGTTCTTCACTGTGCAGGAGTTTTTCCCTTCAGCAGGAAGTCCATAAAAGGAAGTGGGTCGCTCCAACTGGTTCAGGAGAGAGCAGAATCGTTTTTGACATTTTTGTGCATGAAATGTGAGGCGGATGGTATTTCGCAGTCAGAGCGTTTCCACGCTGAGGAGGAGAGAATCACTGCAAGAACTGTAATTTTGTTCCATCTGAGACAAACATGAAGTCTGTGATCCAGTGCATCGTTCTGCTGGCCTGCATCGCCATCTGCACCTCACATCCATGTAAGTGTACTGCACCAAAAATGACATCCATTCAATTGTTTAATAAAGGAAATAATTATATATGACAAAATATTTTTCTTTGTGTGGTGTAAACTGTTTTCTTGATGCTGTAATCCCCCCTCAGTAATCAAATGCCGTTGTATAAAGACGATCCCAGCAGTCAGGCACCATCTCATCGCTGATATAAAGGTGTATGAACCAAATTCATTCTGCAGCAAGCGTGAAGTGATGTAAGAACCTGCAGGAACAAATTGTCAATCTATCAGAAACCACACTGAAGGCTGAGCACTGACTTATTATTCTGTTACTGCAGAGTCGTTCGGAAAGATAACAAGGTGTTCTGTCTTGACCAGGAGTCAAATTTCACTAAAAGACTCCTGGAGATGGTGAAAAGGTAATTATTATAATTGTTTTCCAGTTAAATTTTACAATGGCATTTGACTTAATGTAATGTTTTAATTGTTGATTCTGTGTTGCATGACTTTGTGTTTTTGCATTTTTTATTATGTAAAGCACTTTGAAATGCCTTGCTGCTGAAATGTGCTATACAAATAAAATTTGATTTGATGTGATTTGATAGAAAATTAAAGGTCAACAGCAGCATCTGGAGCAGCTGTAGTGCATTAAATGGTCAGCAGGAATCACATCGTCATATCTAAAGTAGTAATACTTTTATTCTGCTACCAACAGGAGTCTGCAAATTTGTAACTCAACACCCATCGTAAAATTACCATTAGTTAATTTTAGTACTTAACCAATCTATTTTTACATGATTAAATGAGTAAAAATACTCAGAATTTTTACTCATTACTCAGTAGTGGTTTCGCAATCTGTAATGATGTTTGTTTTCCTCGCAGGAAAATAAACGTGGAAGGCACTCTCTCAAAAACAACAGCTGCAGCAACAACCGCAGCTGCTACCACCCAGAAGGCTTTAAGGCAAATATATATATATATATGTGTGTGTGTGTGTGTGTGTGTGTGTGTTTCAACACTAAATTAATGTATTCTTCCCTGATACTAAGTTATCAAACATGTAGGGTTGATCTGAACGGCTATTTTCTTTGTTTTCCTCATCAGATCTCAGCCACCTCAACCTGCAGAGGAGGCAGATCTCCTCGCCTGGCTGACCTGGGTATGCAGCTCTATTGAAAAGAACGTTGGGCTAATTAACCGCAAAGAGAAAAAAAATACATACACATATATATATATATATATATATATATATATATATATATATATATATATATATATATATATATA